CCCCAGCCTTCGCGAAGGTCAAGTCGTCACTCCCCAGGACCGGACTCAGATGAAGCTTCACGAAGGGCACCAGTTACAGGCTCCAAGTCATCGAGGGATTCCCCAAGAGCTTCGCGAAGCTATCAACGTTCACCACATAGATCTCCGCGAAGGTCACCATATAGACGCAGCTCGTCAGGCCGTTCTCTGCGACGATCTCCTCGCCATTCTCCACGCCGATCACCTCGTCTTTCACCTCGCCGATCTCCTCACAGGTCACCACGTCGATCTCCTCGCAGGTCACCTCGCCGTTCGCCTCACAAGTCTTCATGGAAGTCCCCAGACAGGTCTCCGTTGACGTCACCCTGCACAGCGGTAGAAGTATACAGGTTTCCACCTCAGTCACAATCGGAAGACCATCAACCTCTTATTAGCGATCCCGTTACAGAAGATGATGGAGGCATCATATTCTCCGACGCAGAAATACGCTACTGGATGGTTAACAACCCAGACCTATCTTCACCTTTCAAGAACGGTAACCCGGCCCACACTTATCTCATGAGGGAGGACGATGCAGACACCATCACCCTACCTCCGATGGACCCGATAGCAGCGGTCCCCCAGAATCTGGACACAGCCTTCCATAAAGCCACTAAAGCCCAGGCGCCGCACTTACCACAGTTCAACGCCAAAACGTTCTCAACCCATAATATGGACCCATTTTTCAAGGCACAAGAAATCGATGATAACTTCAAAGTAATAAACGATGCCAAGAATAAGACCTACAAGATAGACGACCGCAAGCTGGTTCAGATCGAAACCATGACAAGGAGAATGTTCTTCGGCCTTAACAGATCAAGAACGATTTATGAAACTCTCATCACCAGATTTCGAGATTCTACATCAGAAGATGACAGAATGATATACTCGGCCCTCCTTATGCAGAAGAAGGACCAGCATTTTTTAACGGATCATCTTACATCAGTCTCCGCAGCGCTAACTCTGGCTCGTCGTCAAGGTCTCCTCGCTTCCTGTACTTGGGGTGAACAGTTTACATCTCCACTCTACACAGCCCCGTGGTCTATGCCATCTATCTTCGATGGAGGAATAGATAAAGTCTCTAAAGAAGTCACGAAGGATTCAAGGGAAGTCCTTATGATAAAGTCGATGGACACGCTAGCTAGCGTCATCAGGCAGACATCACAGAGATATTCAGGAAGATCAAAGTTTACTGGCTTACAGAAAGCACGGGATAGGAAGATGGTCAGTTCAAGAGGAAAAGATTCTTTTCGTTGCCCATACGGCAACTACAGAGGAGGATCTGGAAGAGGCAGGGCACCCAGAGGTTCCGCAACTATAAACGATGAAAGATGGGTTCGGAACGACTGGAGTCTTCCACCCCCAGCCGTTCCAGTACAACCATCACAAGTGGGTGGACGCCTTCAACTGCACTGGGAGAACTGGGGAATTCTACAAGACCCATATGTCTCCAACATCCTTCAACACGGATATCGAATCCAACTACAGGCCACGCCGCCACTTACAGTCAACCCTCACAAGTTCGACTTCCAGGCGCAACAACTACCAAAGTTACGAGAAGCTGTTTCATCTCTCCTAACCAAGCAGGCCATAGAAGTACTGGATCAAGTAAACATCGAACCAGGCTTCTACTCCCCAGTTTTCCTAGTGCCTAAGAAAAACTCCAAGGAAAAGTTCAGACTCCTTTACAACATGAGCACGTTCAATTATCTTTCGCATGATACATCTACCTCAACTACGACACCTAGTTCGTCCCATGGACTGCATGGCCAGTATAGATCTGCAGGATGCTTATCTACATATCCCGATACATCCCGAATCCAGGAAATACCTACGGTTTACACTAGATGGGCTGCATTATCAATGGAGAGTACTCCCATTTGGAATATCATCGGCCCCCTGGTTATTCACAAGAGTAACGAAACCTATCGTCACTTACCTACATCGTCTAGGGCTACACAGTGCGTTCTACCTCGACGACGGGATTCAAGTAGATCAAGATCCACAGAATCTCAAACTACAGTTAAACTTCATCATCAAGCTACTAACAGAGCTAGGATGGTTAGTAAATCTACTCAAGTCGGACCTAGAACCTACGCAAGATCTGCAATTTCTAGGCATTCGATCTATCACGACACAGAACCGTATCGTCTTACCAAAGGACCGATGGCTCAAGATCCAACAGACCATCCCACAAGCCTTACTCTCTCCGCTACCACTACGACAATGGCAGAGTCTGTTGGGTCTCCTCACGTCAGCCCAAGACATGACAGTCAGAGGCAGACTACAGTTACGTCCGTTACAACTCTCATCTCGACGACCTACAACCATCCAGTCTACCGAAACACATCAGACCTCATCTACTATGGTGGACCAGGAGGTCGAATGTCTGCGAAGGCATCTATTTAACAGAGCCGGAATTCAAAACCCATCTCTATGTAGACGCGTCGCTTTAAGGTTGGGGAGCTCATCTCGCCAACCGGACGGCATCAGGGTAATGGAACCAGCAAGAGAGCAAGCTGCACATAAACATGCTAGAAATGAAAGCAGTAATCAACGCCCTACTACATTGGAGCACCATTCTACAGAATGCGCATCTGATGATTCACACCGACAACTCAACAGTGGCGTTTTATATAAACAAACAGGGCTCAACAACATACATGTCAGAGCATAATGGATGCTCAATACAGAAATCTTTGCACAGCTTATCAAGGAAATAGGAGCTACGCTAGTAGACCTATTCGCCACTAGCTTCAACAATCAGCTAACAACATTCGTATCACCAGTCCCGGATCCACAAGCGTGGGCAACGGACGCACTAAGCATATCCTGGGAAGGCCTCAACACGTACGCGTTTCCGCCGCCAGCGCTAATTCCAAAGGTGTTACAGAAAATCAGACAAACTCAGAGCCTCCAACTGATTTTGGTCGCGCCCTACTGGCCAGCGAGAACGTGGTTTCCCATTCTAATTCAAGAAATCGGACACCCAACACTACAACTTCCAAAGCGCTCGAATCTACTAGTACATCCTCACACCAAACAAGTGCACGGAAACCCAGAAGCATTCCAACTTCACGTATGGACTGTATTAAAGTGTGTCTAAACAAGAGAGGTTTTTCAGCCAGAGCGGCGAAAGCAGTCACGCTTGCTTCACGCAATTCTACAGCGCAACTTGTATGACAACAAGTGGCACAGTTTTGAAACATACAAGCTGCTAAAAGGATTTACAGCTAGAAATGCTACACATCCACAAGTGGCTGACTACCTGTGTTACCTACGACAAACTAAACGTCTAAAAGGCTCGACATTGCCAACATATCTTGCAGCTCTAAGTTCAGTGATAACTGTGAGAACGGGTGTCAAGTTAACAAAAACGCCAGAGTTACTGGCCTTGTTACGTTCATTCCGATTGGAGGATCAGAAACAGAGATTTCGGGCTCCAGCATGGGATCTAAATAGAGTGCTCCAACACCTCACAAGTGAGGCCTATGAACCACTAGAATCAACATCTTTTGAATTTCTGTCACAGAAAACTTTGTTCCTGTTATCCCTAGCAACGGCAGCCAGGATGTCAGAAATTCACGCACTAGATTATGAGAGAATACGTTTCGACGACAATGAAAACATAGTGCTTATGGGACTGCGATGGGACTTTATCGCCAAGAATCAATTGCCAGGTCAACCAGACAGATTATTCCATGTCCCTGCACTTTCCTCAATTCTCGGACCTCAAGATACGCTTGACCTATCTTTATGCCCAGTGAGAGCACTCAAAATCTATCTACAGCGATCCAAAACGAGGCGACGACAACTCAAGCGGTTATTCATCCCTCTATCGACAGCGACTCAGACCGAAGTCTCCCGTATCACCATATCGATATGGATCAGAACTGTCATACTTCACGCCTACAAGGCTGCAGGACTCGACCCTCCAAGAGCATCTAATCCCCATGAAATCAGAGCACTGGCTTCCACACTCGCTTCACACGGAAATTGCTCGTTGAATACCATTATGGAGGGCTTCTTTTGGAAATCCGACATGGTGTTTGCTAACCACTATCTGAGAGATATCACCACCGAGGACGTCTCAGGTATTCACCATTTCGGTCCCATGGTCCTCACACAGCAGTTGACAGTCCCTCGTAGACGATGAGACATAGTCTCATGAGATTATTATGTATATATCATACCAGTATCATCTAGCTTATAACTCTACGGAGTTTTGTGCTAATTATATACATATCTTAAGTCTACATTAGTCTTAAGCCCAGTACTGATGTTAAATGTACATTGGGTCGCTTCTCCACTTTGGAGTCGCTTTTATACCATTATTACTATTATCATAGTATCTAATTATTGTAGTACCCCCATCTATGGCAGCTGGTAGAACTTATGTTTTTTCGCAGCAGGAATTATCTTAATTAGAGTGCCATTATAAGGTTCCCGTAGGGGGTTCTTACATATATATAAATCACTAATTATTTAAATCCAAAGTATTCTGTTCCCACCTCCGTTTCCGTAGGATTCTACAAGCAAAAGAGCATGAGTCAGGATAAGGAAAAATATGTAATTTTCTTAATAAAATTGATATTTTATACTTATCCTGACTCATGAGGTAAGCCCTCCCATCCTCCCCACATAACACTTTGGATTTCCCTGTAAATTCAAGTGTTGGGCTCGTTAAACAGGAGACAGTGAAGCATGTGGGATGAGGTGGCGCCTCCTTTCCCACGCATTTTGGAAGAGGGAGGCAACTCTTGGTGAGTACTAATTAGTAATTTTACATTGAAGGGAGCTTCAATTAGGGAGATACAAGTGTTCCACTATGTTCGGAAGAAGAAGAAGACAAGCAAAAGAGCATGAGTCAGGATAAGTATAAAATATCAATTTTATTCAGAAATTACATGTTTCTAACATGCTGACATTGTAGACATAGTGTCTCCTAGAAACCCTAATAACTTCTTTATTTGTGTGTCAAGGTTCCATGGAAACAAGGCAGAAGTGTGAGAATGTCATGTTACAGTTCATTGCAAGTGATATTCGAAAGTGTAATGGATGCTCAGATTTCACTTCAAATCTACTAAAGAAGAGAACATTACAAAACTCAATTTGGTACAATGTCACGAGATCTATTCCCCATTTGAAAGCTAAAGACACTTAATTTGAAATCATGCATACTTCCTTGCATATAGTAGAAACATCTGACAGAAATAAAACCTCCCTGTCTTCAGTTTACCCTTGTAGACAGTACATAAATTAACCTGCCTGTCTCCAGTTTAACCGTGCAGTGAGTGGGGAAACCTGCCTGTCTTCAGTTGACCCTTGCGATCAATGGGGAAACCTGTCTGTCTTCATTTGACCCCTGCTTCCCGTGAAGATCCGGGGTAGAATAGGTCTTCAGCAACCCATGTGCTTGCCATAAAAAGGCGACTATCTTGTCGTAAGAGGCGACTAACGGGATCGGGTGGTCAGTTTCGCTGACTTGGTTGTCACATGTCATCGGTTCCCAATTGCGCAGATTGATGCTCATGCTGTTGATCACTGGATTGTCTGGTCCAGACTCGATTATTTACAGACCGCCGCCATATAGCTGGAATATTGCTGAGTGCGGCGTAAAACTAAACTCACTCACTCACTCATTTGACCCCTGCAGACAGAAGGGAAACCTGCCTGTCTTCAGTTTACCCTTGCATACAGAAAGGAAACCGGCCTGTCTTCAGTTGACCCTTCCATACAGAATGGAAACAGCCCTGTCTTCAGTTTACCCTTGCATACAGAATGGAGACCCTTTCTCTTCAGTTTACCCTTGCAGACAGAATGGAGACCCTTTGTCTTCAGTTTACCCTTGCAGACAGAAGGGAGACCTCTCTGCCTTCAGTTAACCCTTGCAGTCAATAGGGAAACCTGTCTGACTTCAGTTGACCCTTGCAGACAGAAGGGAGGCCTCTCTGTCGTCAGTTAACCCTTGCAGTCAATAGGGAAACCTGTCTGACTTCAGTTGACGCTTGCAGACAGAATGGAGACCTGTCTGTCTTCAGTTGACCCTTGCATACAGAAGGGAGACCTCTCTGTTTTCAGTTTTCCCTTGCAGTCAATAAGGAAACATGCCTGTCTTCAGTTGACCCTTGCAGACAGAAGGGAGACCTGTCTGTCTTCAGTTTACCCTTGCGGATAGAAGGGAAACATGCTTGTTTTCAGTTGACCCTTGCAGACAGGAGGGAGCCCTGCCTGTCTTCAGTTTACCCATGCGGATAGAAGGGAAACATGCCTGTCTTCAGTTGACCCTTGCAGACAGGAGGGAGCCCTGCCTGTTTTCAGTTTACGCTTGCAGACAGAATGGAAACCCTTTGTCTTCAGTTTACCCTTGCAGACAGAAAGGAAACCTGCCTGTCTTCAGTTTACCCTTGCAGATAGAAAGGAGACCTGTCTGTCTTCAGTTGACCCTTGCAAACAGAAGGGAAACCTGCCTGTCTTCAGTTTACCCTTGCAGTCAATAGGGAAACCTGTCTGACTTCAGTTGACCCTTGCAGACAGAAGGGAAACCTGCCTGTCTTCAGTTGACCCTTGCAGACAGAAGGGAGACCTGTCTGTCTTCAGTTTACCCTTGCGGACAGAAGGGAGACCTGTCTGTCTTCAGTTTACCCTTGCAGACAGAAGGGAGCCCTGTCTGTCTTCAGTTTACCCTTGCAGACAGAATGGAAACCTGCCCTGTCTTCAGTTTACCCTTGCATACAGAAGGGAGACCTCTCTGTCTTCAGTTAACCCTTGCAGTCAATAGGGAAACCTGCCTGTCTTCAGTTGACCCTTGCAGACAGAAGGGAGACCTGTCTGTCTTCAGTTTACCCTTGCGGACAGAAGGGAAACCTGCCTGTCTTCAGTTTACCCTTGCAGACAGAAGGGAAACCTTCCTGTCTTCAGTTGACCCTTGCAGACAGAAGGGAAACCTCTCTGTCTTCAGTTAACCCTTGCAGTCAATAGGGAAACCTGCCTGTCTTCAGTTGACCCTTGCAGACAGAAGGGAGACCTGTCTGTCTTCAGTTAACCCTTGCAGTCAATAGGGAAACCTGCCTGTCTTCAGTTTACCCTTGCAGACAGAAGGGAGACCTGTCTGTCTTCAGTTAACCCTTGCAGTCAATAGGGAAACCTGCCTGTCTTCAGTTTACCCTTGCAGACAGAAGGGAGACCTGTCTGTCTTCAGTTTACCCTTTGCGACAGAAGGGAAACCGGCCTGTCTTCAGTTTACCCTTGCAGACAGAATGGAAACAGCCCTGTCTTCAGTTTACCCTTGCATACAGAAGGGAGACCTCTCTGTGTTCAGTTAACCCTTGCAGTCAATAGGGAAACCTGCCTGTCTTCAGTTGACCCTTGCAAATAGAAGGGAAACCTGTCTGTCTTCAGTTGACCCTTGCAGACAGAATGGAGACCTGTCTGTCTTCAGTTGACCCTTGCAGTCAACGGGGAACTTGCCTATCTTCAGTTTACCCACTGCAAAAGGAAGGGAGACCTGTCTGTCTTCAATTTACCTTGAGCTGTATGTTGTGTAGTTTGATGAGAACGTTCGATAAATGATCGAGTTCGGACAATCCAGTGATTGACATTATGATCATTGATCTACAGGTCTGGGATACGATGACAAGCCTGACCACGCGATCCCTTCATCTCCTCAGCATGTGTCAGTTCTAACCTGAATCTTCAAGGGTAGTGAGTTTTTGACGAATAGGTTTTTTATTGATGATATATTTCCTTTGAAAGGACAGACAGGGGCTTTCTTTGCTATGTGTCACACCTACAGCTATGTGTCACAAAGTCAGATGTATTTGAAAAATGGACTATACGGATGAGTGAATGAGTGAGTTTTAGTTTTAAGTCGCACTCAGCAATATTCCAGCTATATGGCGGCTGTCTGTAAACAATCGAGTCTGGACCAGACAATGCAGTGATCAGCAGTATGAGCATGGATCTACACAACTGGGATACGATGATATGTGTCAACCAAGTCAGCAAGACAGAAATCCCGATCCCATTAGTCACCTCTGACGACAAGCATGGGTTTCTGAATATTCTAAAATGCTGTTCATCAAAAAGTCTTATTTTGCCGTTATTAAAATAAAATATATTGAATATCAGTATTTTCACTACAAGCTGAATGAGAAGATGCTAAAGCTCTGGTAACCTAACACGATATATTTGGGGCGCGTTTTTCATATTGTTTAAGGTTTCTTGACAAATCATTCATCATGCTTGACGCATCATCTTTGACAGGTTTTTATACTTTACCTGTAATTATTATTAACATATAACTTGATATAGTCACGATATGGCTGAAATACTGACTTAAAATCTTAACTCACTCACACACTTGACGCATCAATAGAATCAAATTACTTCCCATCACAACAATACTTGTATGGTTCATTACAGTTATTGCGCATTTACTTGATGAATAAACGATGTTTCTTGCTTAAGTGTTAGAGTCACATTGGTTAATTCCAATCATATAATAGTTCTGTGAAATGTGATCCTTATCGGATTATTGGTGCATATTCGAAATTTACTCTGAAACGTGCAAGTGTATTGCTGTTCGGGCAGTGTGGTCATGTGCATAGAGCTCAGGTCACAAATCAGTTGAAATTAAGCAACGTTGGGCGCGGAGAGTTCTTGGATGGGTGACCGTGTTTGGCAGCTTGAGTGTTTCTAGGACTTCAGTCCTGTTCCACAACGAAGCACATGTGATACATGTGGTCTCATCTTAGGCAAGTGAGTTTGTTCAAAATTGCCTGTTCACCAAGCAGAAAATGAGTACCCGGTGAGAAATGTCATGTGACAGGCAGCTTGGGTTATCTGGGGTAATAAAAATCAGATTGTGCGCTTTGAGCAGGATATGAAGCCTGGAAAGGTTATATTTCTATATTCTTATTAAACCAGATTGGAAGTTGTTCCTAAAAATAGATTTGGTTTTCCCATTTATCAATTAAAAGAATGTACTTTCGGTTTAGGCGCCTGCTATAATAAGCCCAGTACATTTCCCCACTTGTAGTCTGTGGTAACTACATAGGCGTATGTCGGCTCCGCCATTGCTGTTGTGAAACATAATAGTATTCAGCTATAATCAGTGACACCAGTCTACACTGTGAGTAGTTAGGGTATTTCTACCTTGCTTACTTCTCTCTTGAAGCGATAATATTTACTTTTGTTCGTTTTGGCACGTTCACAAAATAACAATACAGACATTAGAATATATCAATCCCTCCTCAGTTACCTCCCTTGGCCGATTCCTGAGGAATTGGAAACAAATCGATTGTAATAGCATAGGAATATTCGTATAATGCGCTTTAAAAATACCGTATCCCACGAACGAATGTAGGTGAACGAAGAGGTAAAAACTGCCATGACAATATATTCACCCCTTTAATGTTTCATGCCAGGTAATTGAATGCAAAACAAACATTGGAACATCAAGTTTGATCGTTGACTGCTATGTTGGACACAGTAAGGTGTAACTGGTACTGTTTGCAGTTGAAATTCACTGTATCACCGGATCTGGAAACTTGTTGACAGGATAAACGGAACATTTTGTGCTGTATACAATTCGTTTCACGTAAATATCCTTCATTAGGTGAATCTACGAGATATGTGTAGTCCGGATGTACGGGGTCCCACTGTGAGAGACAAATAGTCTAAATGTCGATATGCATATTATCTTTACACCAGTACTATCCACCTACCTGATCACTATTTTATACAGAGTTTATCAATAATTTTATGTAGTTTTGGCAACGGATACTAATTATATTTATGTAAGGGTTGTTATGTAATAGTGAGGCTTTTGTCGTGGGCCACATACTCGTTATAACGCTGTTTGTGCGTCAATCGTTCACTGACGTTCAATGTGTCAATAAGAATACGTTGGTTGGTTGGTTTCTTGTTTTACGCCGCACTCAGCAATATTCCACCTATATGACGGCTGTCTGTTAATAATCGAGTCTGGACCAGACACTCAAATGATGAACAGCATGAGCATCGTTCTACGCAATTGGGATATGATCACATGTGTAAACCAAGTCAGCGAACCTTGCCACCCATTCCTGTTAGTCGTCTCTTACGACAAGCATGGGTTGCTGAAGACCGATTCTAACCCGAATCTTCACGGGCCAAGTAAGAATACCTTCTGTCAAA